GTTCGATACAAAGGAAACTTAAACAGGATCATGTACTAGACAAAGCTAACAGCTTCAGTTTTCCCTCTGCGAAGAGGGATTGCACAAATGCTAAATCGATTTCCTTTTCAGAGTGATACTAATTGCCTTTTGTCCCAGAGCACCATATCAGGCATTATCTTCAGCACCTTTTCAGAGCCAAAAAGCTTAGAGAAGCTTGAAATGCTTAAAACAGAAAAATGCTGTATATATAAAATATTTCTTAGACGAATTGTGTCAAACAAGGTATTAGCTTCAGATTGACTTTAATGGGCAAGTGGGAGAAATATCAGTTGTTTAATGAGGCTGAAATTTATCCCCTTTCAGAAAGCCAATACGAGCCTATGAACCACCGAAAGCTAATTCTGAATTTATGGCTTAAAGGGATTTAAGGGGAGTAATGGCCCCATGCTATCTTTCTGTATGGAGTCAATGTTTTGTTGCCAGTGACCCGGTCCCATGGTATTCATTTGTAACAAGACATAGTATTTGGGATATTTCTCATGCCAAAACACATCTTGGCTTCTAGTTTTCTCTGTGTTGGATGCTGGCCAGGACTAGGGCAATTATCTAAGACAAAATAAATCTCTGGTGTATTTGAAATAATTATGTAACCCTTCCTCTTTCAAATCATCAACAGACATTTCTAGATTCTACTGATATGTGTATTTTATCATATTTTGTATGTCTTGAAAACAATACTTAGAAGAGAGAGTTTGGATCTGCCAGATACAATGTCTGATACGTTCCACCATATTGCAGTCAGTATGGTCATTTCAAGTTGTTTTGCTTGTGGGATGCTGGTGTAAAACACATCAAAAATCTTGGTTATTAGTAAGAACATGCATCTTTCACCAGCTCACTTCTCTTTTCCAGTCTGTTCATAACAGTTTCTCCTGTTCCTTCCTCATCCCACTTTTCCTCTGCTCCAGCATGGGATCACTCTTACAGGAGGTCCCTCCTCCTGTTCCAAGATAAACCTGTTCCAGTGTGGGCAGTCCACAGGCTGCAGTTTCTTTCAAGAAATATCCACGGGCTGCGGGGTGGATATCTTCTGCATCGTGGTCCTTCACAGGCTGCAAGGAAGTACCTGCTCCACTGTGATCCTCTCCCAGAGGCATCTGGAGCACCTCCTCCCCATCCTGCTCTCACCCTGGTGCTTACACTCCTGTCCTCCTTTTCTTCTTCCCCCCCTCCTCTGCCTATTAGGTGTTTTTGCCCTTCCTTAAATGTGTTCTACCAGAGATGGCACCATCTCAGCTGATGGGCTCAACTGTGTCCTGCAGTGGTTCAGTCTGGAGCTGGCTGGAATCAGCTGTGTCCAGCAAAAGGCAGCCTCTGGCCTCTCCCTGTGGAGGCCAGCCAGCACCTGGGCACCAACACCCAGTGCATCAGCAAACAGTTTTATGCAGAATTGATGAGGTACCCAATACAGCTTCTAGCACCACCATATTTTCACTTCAATGGATTCATTTCCAAATCTCATACCGTTTTAGTTCTCGTGGTTGTATCGTTGCTTTGAGAGTTGTGCTGAAGTTCTACTTCTTGCCGTCTGTTGATGTATGGGTTCAGTCCACACCGGCAGCGGCCAGCCACCAGGGTCCAGCAGTCACTGCCTTGTGAGCTGGAAAGGACAGCATACACACCTTGGGACAGGTCACCATAGTGACTTTGCCAAAAAACCAAATCTAATACTGATCTTCTCCCTATTCATGCTCGTACACTGTTGTAGACTAAGGACAATGTCTTAAAAAAAACTATTTCTATATTCCAAAATAAACATATATTTTGTTCCATAAAAGACTGAAATCATGTAAATGGCATTTACTGTTTACATCTTTAGTGTTGTTTTGGTTTTTGTTCACTTGATGAACATTTTTCCAAAGTGTTACCAATAAAAGAATTCCAGTTGATTTTGCTAGTAGCCATGGAATGAAAAATCTGTGTGGCTGGTTCCTCTGAACCAGTGGAATATACCAAGAGAAAGCTTGTCCAGAAGTTGCATAAGCAAAAGCATGTAAGTGCTGAACAGTAAAAAAAGATAAAATCACAGAAATGTGGATTAATAGGCATTTCCTCAAGTTTTAGGTTTTAACAGGATTTTTTATGTGTCTAGTAGACTGCATCTTTTTCTTCTGTTGGATAGCAGGGAGAAGTGCTACTGCTTCTGCTGTTGACTTTATGGAAGGTGTCCATATGTCTGGTGCATTGATCCAAGCAGTGCAGGTGGAGCCTTCTCCCATAGATGGTGCCCTATTGTTAGTTTACCATTATGTTATCACAATGTTGTTTTCCCTGAAGAGCTAATGCCAGGGGGTTTGTTCTGCTTGGGCTTGCTGCAGTCTCCACATAATCCCTTGATTCTACTTGCAGCAACCTCAAGACATCAAAAGCACTTTTTGCCTAAGAAGAAATGTAGAAATCATGGAAATGAGCTTGGAGTCAGTGGGTATGTTTATGCTGCACGTACTTCACTGGAATATAAAGATACCAAATTACCTAACAGACAAGGAGTCTAACTGTAAAAGTACAGAAGTTTAAGTTTAGCTTCCTAACAGGCAAAATGATCTCCTGCTGTCTTGCCAAGCCTGGCAGTGTACAAACTGCATGATATACTTGAGTACCTGGTGGTTGTCACTGCCTGTGAAGGACTGCACTTGATTATTGGCTAATAAGGACTTCTGAATTGTAAGTTATAAATATAACATGTATTTATTATCATGAGAAACTAACAAATATTAGGAAAATACACTTGTGATGGAGAAGAGATCACCCAGGGTCCACTAGCAAATGTCTTTAGGTAGTATATTCTGGTAGTGGGACTTCAGTTCATGTATCTTAGTCAATTACTTCTAGAGATTGATGATAAGGTAGCAGAGCTTTCGGTTGTTGTGCCCCAAAACCCTTTCATCATTTGCTGTCTGTGAAGAAGAAGAGGCCTGAATTATCATCTGTGGTCTCTTGAAAGACTGGAGAGATCCAGCTTTCATGGTTCTTGTGGTTCCTGCGTGCTAAATTGATTTTCTTTAATAGATTTTATTCATAGTTTCCATAAGGATTCCTGAGATACTAACAAAAAAAATTGACTAAGACACTTAATTTGTATTTAGGGGATAGGCAAAGGGAAACTGCTCTTGAAATAAAATCATGACCGTCCTTCAGCTGTAGATCTGTTTAAAGCTATGAACAGGATTGCTGCTCAGAAGAAACATCTCAACACTACTGAGGTGAATATGACCTTGAGTGCAACAAGAGGTAAACCATTAAGCAGGTGTCTGGTATGGACCCTAATAATCTGCTAAAGATCATAGAAACATAGGATCATAGAAACATAGAATCATAGAATAGTTTGGGTTGGAAAGGACCTTAAGATCATCTAGTTCCAACCCTCCTGACAAGGGCAGGGACACCTCGCACTAAACCATGTTGCCCAAGGCTCTGTCCAACCTGGCCTTGAACACTGCCAGGGTTGGAGCATTCACAACTTCCTTGGGCAACCTATTCCAGTGCCTCACCACCCTCACTGTGAAGAACTTATTCCTTATATCTAACCTAAAGTTCCCCTGTTTAAGTTTAAAGCCATTACTCCATGTCCTACCACTACAGTCCCTAATGAAGAGTCCCTCCCAAACATCCTTATAGGCCACCTTCAGATACTGGAAGACTGCTATGAGGTCTCCACGCAGCCTTCTCTTCTCCAGGCTGAACAGCCCCAACTTTCTCAGCCTGGCTTCATACAGGAGGTGCTCCAGCCCCCTTATCATCCTCGTGGCCCTCATCTAGACTTGATCCAACAGCTCCGTGTCCTTTTTATGTTGAGGACACCAGAACTGCACATAATACTCCAAGTGGGGTCTCACAAGGGCAGATTAGAGGGGCAGGATCACCTCCTTCAACCTTCTTTTGCTTCACACTTCTTTTGATGCAGCCCAGGACATGGTTGGCTTTCTGGGCTGCAAGCACACACTGAAGCCGGCTCATGTTAAGCTTCTCATCAACCACCACCCCCAAGTCCTTGTCCGCAGGGCCAAGATGTGTACAATAATCCAACTTTTTGTCAGTTGACTTTGGTCCTCTGCACAGAATCAAAGCCTCTGCTGGCAAAAAATTAGAAGTAGGTGAGATAAGTAGAGTTGAAAGTAACATTTAATACATAGAATGTTTTTAGACTTCCATGGCAATGTTAAGCTGTCACAGAGAGCCAAATGAAAGAAACAGCTGGAAGTTGTCTCACCAGAATCATCTATAGAAAGCAGCTGAAAGGAATCATGGGAGAAATTATTCCTGTATATGCTAACATGTTCTCTAAGCATTATGTAACACATAGGAGAGGTAATATCAGACATAAATCTGACTTACTTTTTACCAAGGAAGAGTTCCTGTCATCCCTTTTGCTGTATTACCCCCACCCCAGTACACTGTGAGAGAAAGTTAAGCCGAATGTTGGCAGAAGAGCTGATGAAACCATCTATATTGCCTTGAATATCCCCAGTTGTGAATGCAGCCTGTGTCAAACACTGGAAATGTGAACTACCAGAGACGACTCCTTAGCCACTGGCTCTCCCATGTTTGTGGGCAATGAACAGTCTAAACCTGAACCAGTCCAAGTCTAAAACCACACAAGTGGAATACTTCGGTAAGGTGCCATCTCTGTCTAGCCATGATCAGATCTAGTGGCACCTAAGAAAGAAGAAAAATCACTGTTTGACCTTAAGCAGCTTGTTTCAACTGCAAAGAAAGCCTTTGACTATGATTTAGGACAGCTAATAAAAGACAAACTTGCTGATGTGGGAAAGTAATAGAATTCTGTTTGCACCATGTTTATGGAGGAATAACCCAGGTGAGGGCAAGAGTTTATATTGTTATCCCTTCAGATAATAGGAAAACATAAAAAAGCAAGCTTCATCTTTAGCTTTCATCTCACAGTGTTGGTGAGGGAATGAAACCCATGAGCATGAAACACATACTGGGAACCTGGAACAATGGTCCCTGGTATGATGAATGCAGTTCCAGCTGCCCCTGAAGCACGCAAGGCATCCTATGTACTAAACCATGTGTTGAAGCACAGTATGTATACCATGTCAACCATTGCCTTACTAGTATATGAAAATAAAAAAATTAGTGAAGAAACTCACACTGTTGTCAAGCTGCATGCAAGGCCTCCACGTGAACTTCGAGCTTGTGGCTATACTTGCAGAGAAGCATGGCAAAAGCTGTGTAAATAGAGCAAGCCATTTTCTGAAGCTGGAGGGATGCAGTCATGATATACTGTTTCCTGCAGGATTAAGACCTTGAAGATGACTATGAATGTTAGAGATACTTGGTTCAGAAAAGCATCTGGAAGCTTGGATGCACATAATGTCACTTATCCAGCTGGGTAGGAAACTCATAAGAATAGGCTTTCTTAAAAAATGTTTCATAGTCCCAAATCACAGGCAATGTTGTCATGCCCAGATGTCCTGCTGCATTTGGTATTCCTGCTTCTGCATAAATTTACTCCTGGAAATGGCGAGATGAGTACAAGTTTAAAAAGGAGGATGAAGCAGAACAGAAACCTTGGCAGAAGTTTGATTTTTGAAATCAGGTTGAATGTCAAGGAACACTTTTTCTGATCAGTTCATTTAGTTTTAAGGTTCCCAGCTGACCTGAGATGTATTGTGCTTACTTTATGTGATTAGAAAAAAAAGTAGTTTATGGACCTGAATATGCCTTTAGTCTCTCAAGTACAAATCAGGAGTAAGATAAAATTAGTGTGACAATGAAACTCTTTTTTTTTTTTTCAGTTACACTTCAGTCTGAAGATTATATTGTGGGAGTGGAAGAAAAATACAAACTAGTAAATCACATGTGCTGCTTAGGCATTGAACTGCTTTCCTCAAAGTTAAATAAATTGGTAGAACCATAATGCAACTGCAGAGGTGTCAGCAGGATACAATTGTGAATTGCCAAGCAGAGATGTAAAATGGAAAACCCTTATCTGTTGTGTGCAATTCTATCTGGATTACTCACAAACAAAACATATCTGTCAACTTTCTCCCAAATGCTGTTTAGGAGTATTCCTTGGCTCTTTTGTACCTATTTGAGCTTACTTCCTTTAAATAGTATTACATTTGTGAATATATCCATCTCTGTGTATATTCTTTTCTCCCCTCATGTATGTTTGCTTTCACTTGTGAAAGTCACGTTCATGTTTTTATCTTGTCTTTAATAAGCTGTAGTTCGTTGCAGGGTATATTTAAAGTACCAGCACAGATATGCCAAGGTCTATAAAATGCAAGAACATCTTTTATATATGGATAAATGAATCATTTCCAAGGAAGAAGTTAAAACTGTTATTCAATCAAGGCTATTCTGTTCTTTGTTTTCAGACAGGATGTGCACTTCCTTAAGGACATCTGAAACTCGTCTGTAGTTACAAAGTTGTCATTCTTTTATACAATTAATATAATTAAGTAACGAAACCATTAACAGAATAAAAGAGATTAAATTGTCTTTTTCACTCAAAATAGATTCTAATTTGTTCCTGACAGGAAGTTGTCCCGATACAGTGCATTATTGGCTAGTGTCATTGTTGAGGTTGTTGTCGGTGGGCTTAGTTACAAATGGTAGAAGTGGGTAGGTATGCTCCCCACTAATTCCTATTTAAGAGCTTTTCAGGTGTCCATTTTAGAAACAAACAAAAGCATTATTTTTCTGGTGCAATATGTCCAGTGATCTTTTGCTGTGCAAAGCCTGTATGTCTTTCCTCTTGAGGACAGAGCTGCAGAGATTAAATCATATACTGCGGAAAAAAAATTGAAGGTTCCACTTTAGAAAAGAAAGAAACAGGAACATGCTTTCATGTTTCCTAAGGCCATTTTACAGAATTTCTGCTTTCCTGGACTTTTAACACTCTGTAACAGATGAACATATAGTTTCTTGAGTACATATTAACTGAGAATGCTACTTAATCCTAATTTCCTAGATCAAGACCCTAAATACAAGCCTCTGATATACCAGACTGTCAAATACAGACCAGAAAGCTGCTGCAGCACCAGAAGAGAATGTGGAGGCTGAAGCTGAGCAAGCAGGAAATCTGATTCTTGTTCTTCATGAACAGATCACAGTCCAATCTTCTCTGTTCATTTCTGAATGGCAAATAAGCTTTCCCAATTTAGGAAATTAAACCACCTATGTTGTTACAAGTAATTTCTTTTCCATTAAGTCTACAGGACATCCTTTTTTCCTGGTGCCGTGTTACTGCCTTTAAGGTTTTGGTTTGATAGTAATAGAAATTTATTTTAGTTCTTTTCAAACAGGGATAAAGAGATTCACGTGAGCACATAGTGATTAATGAATTATCCATTTAGTGCTACAGTACTTCACTTTATCTCTAACCATTTCCAGTCAGTTATTTATACAGTGACATTTATTAGCAAACTGCCAATTGCATCACCTTCGCATTGTTGTTCTCGTTATGAATTATACTTTCAATAATTCTTTAGTGCTGGGTCTAATCAATAAAGAAAAATGATGGTGCCCATGAAGCATTTAGCCTTATCTTAATTCTATATCCCTAACACCATTGCCAATAACATAAGAGTAGATACATAATACTTTAACTGGCAGTTTTTTCCTTTTGTACATTCCCTTGTCTCCTTTTCTCTCTTGTATGCCAGTATCCCTGAGTTTGTTCTGTAAAAGCAAAGGACGTTTCCCTATTAATGACTACTTAAATAACAGAATTATGTTGCTATTGTACTTGCTTTTTTTCTGTCCCAGACAATGACTATGAATTAATTAGCATTAGAAAACTGGAAATTCTTATGAATTTTAACATTTTATTTGGAACATTCCGTGTGTATTATTGAATGATTTTACACCTCCTAATGCAAAACTGATGATATCTCTACAAACCTCTGGGGAAGTGTGTGAGGTCATTACTGTTAGATTTGCAAAGAAAATGTATGGATTTCTCTCTCACATTATTCTTTCCTGTGCTGATAATGCCATTTTTGAGCTCTTCTTCAGGGTGGCTCATTTTTAGTGAAAGATTCTCTTATCCTTTATCCTATTCATGTACCAAACTTTTCATTTCATAAAGGAAATGAACTGTGTTTTTTCAATACTTAAAACATTCCTACAGCAAAATGAGAACTTACTTACATGTTCAGATGTTAGAATTGTCTCCAGAGATAATGGTCACTGAAAGGCAGACGACTGTGAAAAGCAAATATACATGTCAGAAATGAAAATAACAATTTATTCCATGTTTCCTTCCTGTCTTCATTGCTGATTGATAGTTTATTCTTTCCATGAAGGAGGATTTCGGAAGTAACACTGGTGATCTGACATCCAGGAGTCTGTGTGGAAAGAAAAATTATGAAGTTTTATTAAAAGATCTCCCTGGAATTTTAAGTTTGCGCTATATTTCTGCTGATTTTTTTACTATTATTTTTATTTTTAAAACAAAGAGGATTTTAATTCATGGATTCATGGGAGCCCACAACATAATTAGCACCCTGCCGGTGACTGAGGGAGAAACACTGGCAAACACAATCCCTCATGAAAACAATGAATCCCTCTGTCCTAGTTACTGAGCAAAATCTTAGTGTGTTAAGCCAAGTTGATTGCTTAAAAAGATTTTGCTTCCTTCATCAAATTAGGTATTATTTCCATAACCTACTTTTTTCTGTTTAAAATATTTATTTTTTTTTCAAAAGTGAATAGCAACATGTATTTAGGTTTAAATGTACCACTCTATATTAACAGTTTATAATATTTATTTATATTTTTTAAGTAATCTGTCCTTGGTGATTGAGTTCTAAAGAAAGCTATTGAGCAGGAAAAAAAAAATACTGTCTATGCATCAAGAACCAAAGGTTGTTGAAATGAATAAACATCTTTCTTTTAAAAGTAGACAAAAACAGACAAAAAAATGGGTTTTTTCATTTCAGTTTGATTTACTTCAGTAAGTAGTTCAAAGTTAAGGAACTGCTTAGAAATAGAGTAAGCTGGAACATTGTTATCTTTGCATGGTCTATGAATAAATTCTCAGTCTGGAATGCTGAGACTTGTGAATTCATTCATTAACTGGATATAAAATTTGCCTTGGTAATAAACCAGTTTTAAGTATAAAATGTTTGATGCATTTTTCTTCTGTATACAACATATTTATTGCAATTGTATTTAAATAATAAATAGACTTGAAAGGCTGGGGTTTGCTTTTCAGTCAAATTCCCATTTCCATCCAAAGCAGCTTCGTACGAATTGTAAGTAGAGAAAAATTAATCTTCTAGTAAAGAAGAATTATCATTAATTTCTAACAGAATGCTGTGTAAGTGTTAAGCATATGAATAATTATGCGGAACTGTATCACTTCTTAAATGGGAACGGAAGGTATCTTTCTGGTAGTGATGGAAGTAACAGGTTAGTTTAAAAATCACATTCAGTTGCAAAAAAACTTTTTTTTTTTTTGAGTTTACTGACCGAGAACAATCAAACTCCCTTGAGGGAAAAAGAATAATACACATTCAAAATAAGCGTAGAAAAGTTTTTATATAAAAAATGGTTTATGTTTTTTGTGATTTCAAGCGAATAAGAATTGTTTTGACAAAAATAATGTTTGAAAATCTCATGACAATAATTTTATATTGAATTCTTCTTGTGAAAAATATTTGACAGGTTTGCCAGAAATATTATAGCTCAGGGCCTTATAAATAGGCAATTCTGTGATATATGGGAGATAGAATGGTTATATGAACATAACATCTGTATTCAGAATTTTAATTCAGTAGAAAATTCCAACATTTCTAAAATTCATTTCATTTCCAACTCTAAAAACATAAAGTTTTGACATTTTCAACTTATGAAAATTCTGCGTAAAAGTGGTAGAAATATCAAAATAGGCAATACTTTTTCCATCAGCAAGAGTAAGGCAGTTAGTTAGGCTTTTTTAATGACTTATCCAAATGAATCAGAAAATTCATATTCCTTCTTTAAGGCAATAACCACAGCAGATCTGGTTAAATCGCACAGCTGACAGAAACTTCTTCCAGCTTGCTCAAAGTTGTGAATTACTTGATTTGTTTCAAACATAAAATTGCTACAGAAGCATTTCGGAGTGTAGTTCAATAGCTGCTCTTGTTTGTGTGCATCCAACATTGCAGGGCAATGAAATCTCAGCAGTAAAGGAGGAGGAAGAGATTGTATTTCAGTGGTAGAGTACATATTTAAAGCAGCAAGGATCTCACCGGTTTCGACTAAGTGCTGATGCACTAATTATGCATTAACTACATCTCCTGTTTCCTTCTAGGTCTTACTGCTGCAGCATCTCTCGTATCTCTGGCTTGGGCTTTGGCTTCTTACCAAAAGGCCCTCCGTGACTCCCGTGATGACAAGAAACCCATTAGTTATATGGCTGTTATAATCCAGTTTTGCTGGCATTTCTTCACAATTGCAGCAAGGGTCATTACTTTTGCTCTGTTTGCCTCGGTTTTCCAGCTGTACTTTGGGATCTTCATCGTGCTGCACTGGTGTATCATGACCTTCTGGATTGTCCACTGCGAGACAGAGTTTTGCATCACTAAATGGGAGGAGATAGTTTTCGACATGGTTGTTGGGATAATCTATATATTCAGCTGGTTCAATGTCAAGGAAGGAAGGACACGCTGTAGGCTTTTCATTTACTACTTTGTGATCCTTTTAGAAAACACCGCCTTGAGTGCTCTCTGGTATCTGTACAAGGCCCCACCAATCTCTGATGCATTTGCCATACCAGCACTGTGTGTAGTGTTCAGCAGCTTTTTAACAGGCATTGTTTTTATGCTAATGTACTATGCCTTCTTTCATCCCAATGGACCAAGGTTTGGGCAGTCACCAAGCTGTGCTTGTGAGGACCCTGCCACTGCCTTCACCCTACCCTCAGAAGTGGCCACAAACACTCTGCGGTCCATCTCCAACAACCGGAGTGTCACAAGCGAGCGGGATCAGAAATTCGCGGAGAGGGATGGGTGTGTGCCTGTGTTTCAGGTGAGACCCACTGCACCATCTACACCTTCATCCCGGCCACCAAGGATTGAGGAATCTGTCATTAAAATCGATCTGTTCAGGAACAGGTACCCAGCGTGGGAGAGACATGTGTTGGACAGGAGCCTAAGGAAGGCGATCTTAGCATTTGAATGTTCCCCTGCTCCTCCACGGCTACAGTATAAAGATGATGCCCTTATCCAGGAGCGCTTGGAATATGAAACCACATTGTAAGCAAAACAAAAACACAGCTTGAAGAAGCTCCGACGTTACAGTCCAAATTAAAGGTTGACCGTAGGGCTGTAGGAATAACTAAACTGCGTACTACAAGTAGAGCAGCAAGCTGTAGTGTTCTTAGTCTGGCTATCATCATGATTATCATTTGATCCACTGTGTGCAGTCTGTCTGCAGGACACTGGTACAGCAGCATCACCTGAAAGCCTCAGAAAAACCCAAACTTGACCCACACATACAGATCAATTACTTCAGCTGGGGAAACACCCACAACTCCATGCTGCTATGAAGCTCTGACTGCACAGTACTTACAATCAACCCAGTAGGAAGGCTCTGACCAGAGCTTTCAACTTTAGCCAGTAGTGCATTTTATTTTAGAAATGAATGATTGATATTTGCATAATCAACAGCAAAAACAAACAAACAACAACTTTTTCAAAAATAACAAAAGTGTAGCACACAGTGTTGCTGTTATGAAAACTGTTTTCTAGGGGAAAAATAGGAGCATAGTAGTCTTCAACACTCCCATAAATCAGGTTAGAATAGGTCTGCAAATAGTTCTTAATTAAAAAATACATCGTCATGTTTGTAAGGCTGTCAATGGAAAATAAACTAAATTCTGATTAATTAGGTCATAAACATTAATACTGCCAGAACTATTTGTTTTCTGTGGAATTTCAAAGTCTTTCTAAATGTAATTCAAGTTCTTGATGTTACTTACAACAGAAATACTATGCAGCTCACTTCTGGTTTTCAGGAGAAATAAGGAGCTCTGGCACGTAGTGATGTAAATTAAATGATAATCATGATTCAGTGTTCAATTTGCAAAAAAAGAAAAGTAATATATATATGTAAAAGAACAGGGAAGTATAGTTTTCGTATTCTAAACTTTTTGGAGGACCCCATTCAGATATATTGGAAGAAACAACAAAGAGATGAACACACTGAAACTTCTCTGTTTCAGGACTGACAATGCATGATTCAGTGTGTGAATGTATGCAAGGGTGACAAGAGACTGTGACATGCCATACCCTTCTAGTGCCAAACATTGTATAACTGCAAAGTTGCTATTGCCTGAGGGACAGGTAACAAGTGGCACAAGCCCTACCAGAACAAGAAGCAGGAAAGACCAATCAAGTTCTCAACGTCTAGAGACAGCTCTGATTTTCTCACTCAAGGTGAAAGTGATGTCTTTTAAAGGCTTTCAGCCACCTCTTAGTAAGTATATTCACTGAAGTATAATCTAAGCAAGTTATGTGGAAGACCCTCTTCTGCCTGTTCAGGACTTGTGTCCAGATACGTCTAACAATTAGGTTGAATCTCTTGTAATAGAGTGCTTTTGCTGCAAGCTTTTGGGTTTTAAATACCTCCCTAAATCTAGTCAGTGGTATCCTCCTTTATGTTAAAAGTATCCCCTGATGGTGCTTTCAAATGCATTAAAGGTGCAAGTCAAAATTTGATAATATTTTTTTTAAAGCTGGTGCAGAGTGAAAAACTCATTAATTATTTCAATATTTTTGTAAAGTAAAAATATGATATCAACAGGTTACTTTTTATAAACCTCAAATCTTTTAATACATTTCATTCTCTTTATAGCTTAGATTTTGAGAATTGGTCCATGAATTTTATCAACTGGCTTCTGCAGGTTGATACAAAACTGGTTTTCACACATTATGGGTTTGTTTTGCAGTGTAATGCCATATGAAAGCCTACATGGGTACTTTTAGAATACTCTATAAACCATGGATCCTGCTTCAACTGTAAGTGGCTTGTAAAGACACCAAGCAATTCCATAAGAAACGATTTGCTTTAACTATTTCCATCCGTTTTAGGAGAGCGAAGCAGAACTGAGGAGTTACTGTTGTAAATGGCATTGTCAGGATGGAGAAGACCTGATGATTGGTATTGTAATCTTCACTGTCAGATATATCCAGTGTAGTCACTGCTGTATATGCTGCTGGGTAAATTTCAGTCTTTCCTATTATTAATATTTGTACTGTGAAATGGACGAGGTTACACAGCCTATGTTTCTTTGTATGCGTTCAATTAGCCATTTTTAATGTTGACTTTTTTTATTAGTGAAATGTTCAATACCTGTTGTTCTTTGCCGGGGCCAGATCCTCAAAACAAAACATCTGTGAAAGTGCAGGAATCTGCAAGGCAGAGGGAACTTTACACAGATCAGAAAAAACCCGTGCTTCAAGGGTTTCTTAGGTATTTTCAAATTAAACAGTGGCCAGCTGCCTCTATAATAATTTTTTAAATAAAGCAATTCTTTGATAGTCCAAACCTGAAGCTTTGTACAAAGTGGTTGCCCTTTCCTCCATGGAGATAGAGCTGATCATTCAGAGAAAACCACTCATATTTTGTCAGAAGATATACCACTGCAAGAACTGCAAAAAAAAAAAAAAGATTTCGGGAGCAAGTCCTTTGTCCCATCAAATTCAGTAGAGCCTTCACTCCACAAACAAATACTAGCTCACACAAGGAAATTGCTGTTTTCCTTTACAAACAAGGCACATGTTAAATTTTGTAATCCAAGGTGTGAGGGTTTCTTTTGGAAACAGTTCGAGATGTTTGCTGCTGGTTTTATTTTTTAATTTTTCTTTTTTAATAGTGTTTGTAAAAATGTTTCTCTTAAGCAAACTACTGCAGGGTCTGAGTGCACAGTGCCGTACGGGGCGCTAAATACGCACACTTTGTCTTCAGAATTCAATCCGTCTCTTTGAGGAAGAGGGAGAAGTCATTTTACACTGAGTCAAAATTTGCTCTCCAAAATCTTGCTCTGTTGCATTGGTAACGTCAGTGATACTTGCACTGAAAACAGGGTGGCCATTGAAGTCCTAACGCTTAGGTGACTGCATGGACAGTTTCTCAATTTGCATTACTGTGAATAGTCGCATTAAAAACCGTAAGAATTTTTTATAGATATTGTCAAGATTCAACATAGTCCACGTTGAAATTCCATGATGGCCTTATGGACAGTTAATATTCAATATGCACTATTCTTTTTACTGCAGACAGTTTTAAAATCAATAAAGTTCAATAAAAACAGCAATAGCAAAAAAAAAAAAAGGAAAGAAAAAAATTAACTTCTGCTTTTGAAATAATGAAAAAGTCAGGTCTTTTAAATTTCATTCCACAATACACACGAACAGAAAAATTCGTAAGTATATTCTGGTAGGGAAAAGCAATCACATTTCTTTGTTAGAAGTAAGAATTATGAAAGCATTGTTCTAATAAACAAAAAAAAATTGCCAGCAGATTTAATGGTAACTTATCTGGTTAAAGACTTGGTCCTAAAATTTTGAGAGTTCTGGATTTGTATGTTACAGAAAAGACAATTTAACTAATATTCACTATTCTAATTAGATAAAGGAGAGGTTAATGCATATCCATGTTCATTCAGAAAACATATAAGAAAATGTAAGATAAACCTTTTGTCTTAATTTAAAACAAAAATTATTTGTTCTGTAATAGGATAATTTAAAATATATATATGAATTCTTTCAAAATATGTGCAATACTTTTTTTCTGCATATTTAATAATGAAAAAACTCATTTCCACTTTTGTTTATCTCAATTTAAAGATGCTTCTTGTGCTAGAACAGTGTTTCTGTGCTTGAATTATATGGGCTTGATGGCATATAAGTAATATTTTCATTGGCAAATCAACAAATTTTCTATCTATAAATTTATAAAACACTGGAGAAAAATTTCCTTCCAAAATTAAATGCTAGGCCTCAGCTGCCTGATTTTGTAAACTTTTAAGCAGAGGAGGTAAATTAAGGTTTTATTGGAACCTCAATTAGTAATATATGGTGTATAGCTATTAAACCCAGATTGATTTAAAGCATATGGTAGCCTAGCTAATATATCATCACCTCCTCAAGAGAACAATTCAGGAGTGGTAATGAACGTATGAGTGCTGCTTTATTTGGAAAGAAACTCCCAATCACACAATATATTCATTTACTTTTTATTGGCCAGCAAATATTCACAACTAGCCTGTTGGGTTTTTTTAGAACTCAAACAATTTTGAAGTGTTTGTGATTTGATCATACAACTCCTTAAGAGCCTTAGAAGTGTCGCTGTACTGAGTTTTAATTGGCTCTGCCACCAATTCAGCTTCCAAAGCCACTGCCCTTTCTCTGCTCTACCCCTGAAGTCATGCAGTCTGGAGTGACTGAGGTGCTGTGATTTACTCTGCACCCCCTGCACTGCCTGCACAATGCCAAGGAAAAGACTTCAGCCGGTTGCTGGGGTCCTACTGCTGCCTCTCCTTCTCCTGTGCATGCTGGGTAGCAGAGTAAATTGCATTTGTGCATCCATCTAAACAACCTTAGTTAGGTTGAGTCCCTGCAAGAGTTGCATGATAAAAATAATCACAACACGTGCCCATGAATTTACAAGCCCAACACTGTAATTACTGATTCTGTAGCATAACAATGCAGAATGCGGGAAGAATTGTCTAAATACACAATAAGCCATTTAATTTTGCTAATTGTAGCAATTAGACTAGCTCTCATGAAGCCCATGCTCTGAGCAGAAAGCCAAATGGAGTAAGTGGCAAACAGCCATTTATATACCAGAGGCACTATGTTATGAAATCCTCCCTTGATTGCTTATAGAACCGTGTCTTTCTATTATGGCATTGAATCCATTTCTCTTTATTCGATAAAATAGATAAAATGCAAAATAAGAACAGATTCTTTTAAATCCGTGAATTAAAACAACTCACAACAGATTTCTGCAGTTCATATAGTGATTTTTTTTCTTTTTTTTTTTCTTTTTTTGAAACAAATTCCGTCACCATTTTCACTTGGCTGGAAATTGCTGAGTGATCTGCTTCTGAGATGAGTCCTCACATCTGGTACGAGCAGATTTCATTACAGGAGAGATGGACATGACCTTATAAAGCCTTGCACATGCAAGGTTAGGGGAACAGTGTCACTGATCTACAGGTCATTTACAAAGCTTTTTTTATCACATGAGGGGTC